AAGATCTTGCCTGGGAAGCATGAACCCCCCCGCCGTGTTCACCAGACCTGCTCCCTCAGATGACCACTCGTTCCGATCGAGGGCACACGCACTTTCTGAGCAGCACTTCACAACGTACGAAGACATGGGAAACTGGGTCTCTGAATGGTTTGCCTCAAAACAAGAAAAGTTCTATCGGGATGGTCTTCACAAATTACCTGAAAGATGGGGGAATGTGTAGCTAGCAATGGATATTACTTTGAACAAAGCACTTTTGATGTTTCTCTTGAAATTATCCTGTTTTCTTTGATGACAAAATCCGCATTATTAACCGGTTAATAGTTAATCCAAATGATTAACTGATTGAGGGTCAATCCGAATTATTAACCAGTAGAGGGTCAATCCGCATTACTAACCGGTAGAGGGTCAATCCGCATTACTAACCGGTAGAGGGTCAATCCGCATTACTAACCGGTAGAGGGTCAATCCGCATTACTAACCGGTAGAGGGTCAATCTGCATTATTAACCGGTAGAGGGTCAATCCCCATTACTAACCGGAATCCGCGTTACTAACCGGTCCACCTGGTAAATCTTCATACCTGCATCCACAGCGTCCCTTGGCCCCCTGGGAGGTTGGTTCCAGGCCTGCCTGCTGACACCCAAATCCATAGGCCCGGTCCCTGACAGAAGCGGAGTAGGACGTGTGAATTACAGGCTCATCCTCCCGAAGCGTGACCTCCTCCATGTCACAGCCACTGCCTGACACACGTGGACGCTGTGTGGGCAGGTGTGACGCTGCGTCGTTGGAATGAGGACCAGGAGGGACTGTATGTGTTTAGTGCAGACGTGGGCAGCGCAGGCCTAACCAGGAAGCAACAAGGTAACTTCTTTCCAACATTTTCCATCCGGGGCAGACAGGGAGCCCCTGGTACAGGAAGAAGGCAGGGACAGGGTCCCGGTGTGCGGGGGTGTTCGGAGACACCCCACCCTCTCCTGTCGGGTGCGAGGGCCTTGGCTGAGGATATCCCGGCCACCCGGCCTCCCAGGGCTCAGGCCGGGGGCGCCTGCAGGCCGGGCACCGATGGCCACGCAGAGGGCACCGCCGAGAGGCAGAGATGCTGGGAACTGAGGCAGGAGTGTGCAGGCTCCAGGTGCAGGGAGAGGAGGAGAAGGGGGAGGGGCATGGAGACCCTTCGGTGGGGAGAGGGGCAGAGACCAGGATGCCGCCCCTCCCAGGTCTGCCTTGGCACCGCTCTCCCCACCTCAGAGCCCCTGGCAGTCCCCACCCCCACCCTTCCCCTGGGTGCTTTGGTTCTGCACCTGGGAGGGCAGGGCAGGGGTCTGTGCCCCCCAGGGGAGACCCCGGGGAAAGCAGCCCTGGGCGCCGGGTACAGCCAGTGAAGGGCACGTCAGGGCCGGGTGTGAAATGGTCCAGCCTGGGCCCAGGGCCGCAGCTCGTGTGGCACAGCCGGGCCTTGCCATGGAGTGTCTCAGGACTGCCACCTGCCCAGCCCCCACTTCCCGTCTCTGGCTCCCTTTAGCCTGGCAGGAGGCTGGGCATGTCCCTAGATCCCTGTGCCAAGGCACCCCCGGGGAAAGGGTGACGGATTCAGCCCGGCCCCCCAAAGCCAGGGAGGGCTGGCTCGCCTGTGGGCTCTGTGGCAGGGGCCTATGCCCCCTGGGTCCTGGCCCCTACCCTCCAGGGGCATGTGTGGCATTGAGGGCAGGACCCAGGGCCCCCTTGTCAGCCCTCTGATCTGATGCTCGGTCTCGGCCAGCATCTCCCGCCCGGGCTGCCCAGGCCCCACAGGCCATTGCCAAGGGGCACCCAGCCACCCAGCCTCTCACCACTAGCCCAGCTCCTGCCTTCTGGTGTGGGTGGATGGGGGCACCATGGGGATGTGCCCACCTGCGGGGCCTCCCCAAGGTCCCACAGTGCATCCGGCCCGAGGCCCAGCCAGGCCGG